GTAGTTAGGGTTACAAGTGTAGGCCACTGCACCTGTGTTAATAAATGTACTTTTGTGTGTATAGTGCTGGGATCAAACCAGGGATCAAACAGAAACAAGACAAGTATTCTTTCCTAAAGACTCATATCCCATCCATGAGGTTGGAGTCTCATGGCCTAATTACTTCTTGATGCTCCATGTCTCAATACTGTGGCACTGGGGTTGAAGTTTCGAYAGGAATTTTGGAGGGATACATGCATTCAGGCCACAGCATCAGATAAACAAGAGTTGTAGGAGGTGTTCACAACTAGACTTGCCCTATGTGGAGTCCTGGGTGGTTGAACTGAAGGACTTAAGACAGGCACTCAGAGGGCATGCTCTGGGAGCTTTCTTCTTCAAATGGTAAGGACTTGCATGGGCACCTGGAAGGCAGAGGAAGGATGGTGGGCATGCTGAGTTCAAGGCTGGGCTGGGGGCACTCTCTCTGATGTAGGGGGCCTGCAGTTTCTGTTGCTGCTTCCTGTGCTCCTGCATCTACCTATCTGCTCATCCATGGTCCAGCAAGATGAGTGAGGCACTAGAGGAGTTTATTGAAAGCTTGGAGGCCCCAGATGTCCTTGCAGAACTGCTGCTGCTCTCCTAGGCTGCTCTGTACCAGATCTCTGAGGCAAAGTGACAAGCATGGCCATTCAGAGCATGGGGGCACAGGGCAGTGGTAATGGTGGACACAGCCAGCTCCTTASATGTCCCACACCAAGTGCCCTGGGGAGGAGGGTGACTCCTCAGTCCCGAGAGGTTAGAGGGACATGAGGGCTGGGAGCAGCCGTGGCCCTGYTACCCTGTGGCCCCTGGCACCAGGGCTCTTCCATGGTAGAGGACTCTAGGGAGTGGTTCCTTCCTGGCAGCTCTGTGTGCCTCTTCATCCCAGCTGCACAGASTGTCGTCTGCTGGTCCATCCTTCCCAGTCTGAGTTTTTTAAACATTGCTTGAAAATACAATCTGTCTTAATTACTAAGATTTTGCCCCTCCTCCCCCCACTTTTTAAACTGTGGGCAAATGCCTCCATTCTGGCCTTGCTCAGAATCTGTTCTAGAGACCAGCTGGGCTCAGGGCAGGGTGACTGGGGACCTTGAWGGCTGTCCAGCAACTCCTCACCTTACTATGCCCAGGGCTTTCTGAGGAGCTATTTGTGCTTTGCCAACCTCCAAGTCTCTTCACTTAAACCTTCTCCCGAGTCAGGGAAGGGGAGAGGGGAGGTGAAGGGAAGGATTCAAAAAGCAAAGAAAACAAGAGAAGGAGGAGGAAGTGGCCAGTGTTCAGTGAACCCTCAAGTGTGAAAGGCTAATCCAGAATCACTCAGTGATCACCACCATGAAAGCGGATGGGGGTGGCATCGCCTATTACGCAGATCCTCACCCTGACCACCTCCCACAAAGCCTCACTTCCTGAACCCAAGTGACCTTCTGAAATTTGCCACTTTGCCTCAGTTCTTGGCCCTATGCCTGGCCCATGCCACAGCCCCTGCACACCATTAGCTTCCTTCCAAAGTCCCCACTGACTTCTCACTCAGAGACATGTGCCTTTCCTGTTTTCAAGTGAGAGGCACTGGTCCATGTGCCCAGTAAACAGAAACAAGTGGAGGGGGCTGGGAGAGGTTCCAAGGCATTTGCATGTTGCACTGGAGAGTTTGAAAAAAAATGGTGAGGTTTCAGGGGCTCTGATGTGAACCAGAGGCAACACAGTCCTTGGAACTCAGTAGTACACAATGTTCAGAACAATGCTCATGGGTTTGCCATGCTTCAAGAAACAGAGTGTTGAAAGAATCTTATGTTTTAAGATGTTTGACAACTAAATAGCAAGCTACTACCTATGGCCAAGTCATACACATTTTTGTTGATTGGAGATCCTCCTCCTCCTCCTCCTCCTCTTCCTCCTCCTCCTCCTCCTCTTCCTCCTCTTCCTCCTCTTCCTCCTCTTCCTCCTCCTTCTTCTATCAGGGATTGAACCTAGCAACACTTAATCACTGAGTCACATCCCCAGCTTGTTTTTAAAATTTTATTTAGAGACAGGGTTTTGCTGAGTTGCTTAGGTTCTCACTAAGTTGCTGAGGCTTGGAACTAGTGATCCTCCTGCCTCAGTGTCCCAAGCCACTGGGATTATGGGCATGTGCCACTGTACCTGGTGATTGGAGAATTTTTCAGAAGAAGAAAAAGACTGATTTAAATGTAAGACATCATTTTCTCAGTGGATCGCTCATGGAGAGGCTAGGAATAGGGAGAGGAGTTTGACTTGGCCTTCACTGGGTCCCAGATTTTTTCTCTCTGGAGGGATGAGCGATACTTTTTTTCCTAGGTATCCCATTTGTGCCTTGCTGTTTATGTGGACTCAAGTCAAGACCATCTCTCTCTCCTGTAGTTTCCTCACCTTTACGAAGCCCCTTACTCCATCATCAGAGCTGGGTGTTTGCAAGGAAGGCAGGATCAAGACTTCTGGCCTGGGAGAGAAGACAGGGTAAAGCTAAAGAAAACTCTCCCCAAATGCTGAAGTGTTTGGATTATTGGATTCTCTTTATTTTTCCCAGTCCTGGAGATCTGGCTGCTTTTCTCTTCTGTCCCCACAATCGCTCTTCTGCTTGGGTTTCTTCTACCTCTTTCAGATGCCTGAGGAACAGGTGCTTCCTGTCAGGGTTTGTGACAGTTCACTGTCATTGAAGTCAGCAGACATCTACTCTCAGTTGTTTTTCAAAAATGTTTTAACTGCTAGTGACTGTGGAAAAAGAGAACATACCATAACACCAACAAGAGAACTCCATGTATTAAGAATTACCTTTCATTGGTTTTAGTCATCATGGGTAGTTTTGGAGGAATGAGTGGGGGATAATGCTTATGAAAGAGCAGTGATCTGTGTGGTTTGGAACTGACACAGAATTACAGTAAAAATATGTACGTATAATTATTTAATGACACATTTAATAATAGTAAATACACAAAATAACCTCAAAGTCACTAGCATTTCTTAGTTGCGTGTCTCTAGTGACACTTTATATTTCCATGTTGGCTCGCTCTTTCCCCCCTGTACTTCGTCATATACTGCTCTTTCTCCTATCCTCTTCCTCTTGATGCCCCAGCTCACCCCAGATAAACTTTTCACAGACCCCAGGCTGGGAGCTTGCTCTTTATTTTATATAAATTAAAACTGTGTCCTTCCTTCCATCCACACTTCCTAGATTTTGCTCTTTCCTACTGAATTTCTCAATAAAACACCAGCAATAATGCCCKCAAAACACTGCTCTGGGATGATAAAAAGCCTCCTCAGGGGGTTGGAAGGGAAGAAATCTGTTTGTCAAATTGTGAGCCACWGGTTATAGTGTCCTTTATTAGTACTGGAAGAGGGAAGATGCAGAGACACTTATCTGCTCATACGTTCACGTGCTCACAGAAACAAGGCCTGGGTCATCATACTCYCCAGTTTAATTTTTGCCCCATTTTGGTCTGAAACAAAGATGCCAAACTCTTTGGGTTCTCATCAAGAGTGCTAGTGCATCTTTATTCAGTGTTCTATAGTAGCTCTGGCACTTGATCATCTACCTGTCCTACCCAACTCCTAGGACAGAGCTTTCAGTTAGGAATTTTGGGTCCTTTGTAGCTTTTTGAAATTACAGCAGTGATGACAATAACAACAGTGAGGACAATTATAACTTTCACAGGGCACTTGCTCTGTGCCAGGTACCATGGGAAACACTTAACATTGATTATGTCCTCTGATTTCCAAGGGCTAACAGAATTGTTTGATTCATCTATTGCTATCTCACAAATTGCCACAAAACTTAGCAACTTCAAATAATACACATTTATTATCTCACAGTTTCTGTGGCTCATGAATCTAAGCATGACTTTGAGTTTACTTCAGGGTCACTCAACKGAAGTGTTGCTTGGGATTATAGTCATCTCAAGTCTCAACTGGGCGAGGAGCTGATTTCAAGTTCGAATGCTTGTTAACAGGGTGCAGTTCCTCCTGAGCTGGTGGACTAAGGGTGTCTGCTCTTCACTGGCTGTTGGTTAGAAGCTGCCCTTGGTACTTTGCTATACAGGACTCTCCAGTATGGCAGCCTCCTTCTTCAAAGGGTGCAAGCCAATAAAGCAATATAAAGAATCTGTAAGCAAGCGGGAAGTCACCATCTTTTGTAGTCTAATCATGGAAGTGACAACCCATCATCTTTGCCATATTCTCTTGGTGAGAATCAAGTCAGCAGCCCACATGCAAAGGGAGAGAATTACTTGTACATAGATATGGATACCAGGAGGCAAAGATCATCAGGGATCATCTCAGAAATGTGACATCTGAAGACCATTTKGGGAAGGAAGGAGACAGAATTGTTTTAGGACTGCAGAGATAACATCAAGTCCGGATGCTAATTTCTCTAGCTTTTCTTGAAGAATTACCCACTAATTCAGTGAGGATTAAGCCACCCATGTCCTCGGCATCAAAAAGACAAAGACTAGGTGTGGTGGCACATGCCTGTAATGCCAGCTACTCAGGAGGCTGAAGCCAGAGGTTTGCATGTTGGAGGTCAATTTCAGCACTGTAGTGAGACCCTGTTTCAAAATAAAATGAAATAAAATAAAATAAAGTGCAGCCCAGTGGTAGAGCACTTGCTCAGTGTGCATGAGGTTCTGGGTTCAATCCTCAGTACTACAAAAGAAAAAGAAGAAGAGATGAAGGACCTCTCTTCAATACCTTGGATCATTTGAGGGTTCCACCCACCAACAAAGAGCAAAAGGCTACGTGAAGCCATTCCTCAGTACACAATGTGGCATTTTTAGATCCACCCTCTGGGTATATTACAGTAATTCTCAGTGGTTAATGAATAGCTTCTCAGCGGCTGCTTCGTTTAGTTGTCCAAAGGCCAGTTGGTCCCAGAACACATAAAGCTGCGAGCTGGGTAATGAGCACATTCTCTTGTAGGAAGCCTGGAAGCAGAGGAGTGGCAGGGTCAGGCTGCAGGTTCCGGAGGTGCAAGGATGCAGAACAGAGCTGGCCTAATTCTCTGCACTCTTGCCCTCCTGACAGGTTTCCTGATGATCTGCCTGGGGGCCTTCTTCATTTCCTCAGACTCTATATTCCAATGTCCAAGAAACTTGATCATGGCATATTCACTTCTGCCTCTGGGGTTTGTGATCCTCCTGGTTGGAATTTTCTGGAGCACCTACCGCCAGGCAAGTGAAAACAAAGGGGTGTTCAGCCATGTGCTCAGACGACAACTTGCTCACCAGGACCTGCCTCTGGCTACGGTGGACAGGTAGGTGCTGAGACCTGGAGGGAGCAAGAAGGGCTGAGGTGTGGAAAAGCTGAATGACTTGAAATCCTACAGCAGGGGCGACTTACAAGTCCCATGGGACTGTGTGTCAGGACCAAAGCTTTATTGTTGTGAAATTACTCTTGTTAGTCATTGGAAAGAACGCTGTTATCCTGGGGAAAACCATGAGGTAAAAGGAATTTTCTTAGAGAAACACCACCCTTACCCCTACCATCACCTGGTGAAAACCCACCTAAGCATACTTCAGAGGCCTAAGCATACTTCAGAGGCTTAACTACTAAGCTCTTTTGTTATATCATGAGGGTTGTCACAAGTTAAAGGGAGGCAATGATTAATTTTTCCCTATCACCTGGTTACCAAGTTGTAAGGAAAGTAAGTCCCAGACTGAATTCAGCCACAGAGCCAGTGAGCATGCAGACATGCAGTCAATTCTGTAACCTCTGTGACTCGGGAAGTCCCAGCTTATGTATTCTGGTGTCACCTCATGAAGAAGGTAATGTCCTGGAGTAACAGTCAGTTAACCTTATCACTTCACAAGCAAGGAAAACTGTAGCAAGACATTGGCATCCTTGTGAATTGCCGGTAGGAATATAAATTGTGTAGCCACTATTTAAAAAAAAAAAAAAACAGTATGGAAGTTTCTTGAAGTATTGTATATAGAATTGCTATTTAATCCAGTGATTCTATTCCAGATATATACACAAAAGAATTAAAAACAGGGACTCAAACACATGGGTATCTATCAATGTTCATAGCAGCATAATTCATGATAGCCAAAAGGTAGAAGAAAACCAAACATCCATCAGTAACGTATGGAGAAATGAAAATCAGCATGTAACACAATGGAATATTACCCAGCCTTAAAAAGCAAAACAACAAAACAACAACAACAACAACAATAAAATATCCAAATCATGGTACCTGCAACAAGAATGAGCCTTGAAAACACTATGCTAAGTGAAATTATCCAGTCATAAAGGATAGACATCGTGTGATTCCACTTACATAAAGTACCTAGAGGAATCAAATGCATAGAAATAGAAAGCAGAACAGTGGTTATCAGGGCCCACCAGAGTCTGGTGGAAAATGAAGAATGATGGTTTAATGAGAACAGAGTTTCAGTTTGAGGTGACAGAAAATTTCTGGTGAAGGTCGCTCAACAATGTGAATGTACTTAATCCCACTGAACCATACAGATAAAAGAGTACATTTATGTTATATGTTTTTACTACCAGAAAAAAAGATCCAGTAACATTTAGTATTAGTTACCTTCTAATTTTTGGGCAAATACAGGACTCTTTTGGGATAAAACCTCAGGTATCATTCTTAGGACACAGGCTGCAAGTGTCCATAAGTTCTTTCACCCTCTTCATGCAAGGGTGGGGAATATGAAAGTGTTTTAGTGATTCTGTGTGCCTTAAATACAAGTAATCTTACCCATGACGATACATTTGTGACATTTTTTTCTACTAATTAATGAGATACTAATTACAATAAGCAAAATCCATTTTTTTAAAGAGAGAAGAGAGAGAGAGAGAGAGAGAGAGAGAGAGAGAGAGAGAGAGAGAGAGAGAGAGAATTTTTAATATTTATTTTTTAGTTCTCGGCAGACACAACATCTTTGTTGGTATGTGGTGCTGAGGATCGAACCCGGGCCGCACGCATGCCAGGCGAGCGCGCTACCGCTTGAGCCACATCCCCAGCCCAARCAAAATCCATTTTTAATGCTTATATCAGACTAACGAGCAAGGTCTCTGGGTTTGATTAAAAATTAAGATAATTGAAATGATTATAGAAGATGCTTCCACAGTGGTGGTGATTTTTGTTTTTGGATAAATGTTAGATGACTTCCTCTAGAGTGTAAGTCGTTACGGAAGTGACTGGGTGCCTTTAGGATGTAGTTTAAATTTACTAACATGTGCATAAGATCACACTGTGCTGAAATACTTGAAAGTAAGTAATAAATATCATGACTTCCTACTTTATGKTCTCTTCCTGCTGCACTCTGAGATGCTCAGCTCACTCAGAATGGACAGCTAATCAAGTTGGGAAGTTACATTTCTCAGAAGCTTTGCACTCAAAATAGGTACCTAGGTAGAGGTACCAAAGCCGTTTCTCCAGTGGCAGAGTACAGGATCCTGGGAATGTGAGTGGCAGTAGAGGGAGAGTGGATTGGGAGGGGTAGATGGGATTTGGGGCTGGAGGCAGTCATCCTGGAGTTGCTCAAGTCACTCTAGGAGACGGTTCACCTTTTTGTCCTCAGCACCCTTACGTGTAAGTCCCATGACTCAGCCATGGCTATTCCAAGCGAAGGCTGAGATTTATTCCGTACAGTAGACAGCTCCTTCAGCTATTTGGCTTTGGGCCTGGTAACATTTTGGAATGGAGTTGCGGCCACAAATGGCAGTCCCAGTTCTGTTGTGGTTACACATCATAAACACTCCCTGTTGACACTGGACAGACTCTCTCTATAAATACACAACTCCAACRAGCTCAACCCATGTCTCTTCCTCACCTCACCCTCAGCCCCAGTCCCATTCATGTCGGAGAAGCCAGAAGGATTTAGCAATTAGCAAGGTTGGGCAAGAWTACCAATGAGCCCTGGCATGAATGGTTCCTTTAGCCTTTGGCCTATTGACATAGAAAGGGCTGCAGCTGAAATGTGGCATGGTTGGAGAAATGAGTGAGTTTGTATGCTCCTTGGAAACTAGTAGGTGAGACTCAAAAGAGTGTCAGGAAAAAGTGGTGGCATTTATATAGTTCAGGGACCTGCACATTGATTTTCATTCATTATTTTATTGACCGKGAAATTCTGATACAGTAAGCGTAGTGGAGTGGAAGATAATGTGTGTGAATAGGGACATGGATGTGAATGAGTGAAGTGCTGGCCCGAGAGAAGTCCATCCTCAAAGTCCCAATGTCCCCTACCACTGATAAGGATCTCCTAACGAATGGCCCTGATTCCATGAGTTGAGCAAGAGAGAACACATAGCCTGGAATCACAGGCTGGAAAAAAGTGACTAGAAGGATGTATTTGATGGCTGATAAAGGGGTTCTTCTGGAAGGGAGGCACATTTTTTTTTTATATATAAAACTGGAGATGCGAGAGAAAGTACATCTGTTTCAAAAATCAATGTTTCTTAGCAGTTTAACTTCACACTATGTGAGCTGAGACAGGCATAAATTCTTAAATGATGCATGCATTACAAGGTTTGTGGCATTTTGTCCTGCAGGCCAGACTTCTACCCTCCAGCTTATGAAGAGAGCCTTGATGCTGAGAAACACACCTGTCCTGCAGACCCAGAGGCCTTGGACATTCCTCCACCTCTATACACAGAGACGGGCTTTGAACTCCAGGGTGAAAATGGTGCCCACCCAGAGGCCCCACCATCTTACCAAGCATCTGTAGCAGACCTGGTGTCTGCAACAACATCAGAGGATGCTGAGAGGCCAAGCCAAGCACTGAAGGCAGGACACATACTCATGGGAATGAGTTGCTAAGGAGCAAGGCAGCCTGGGTCAGTGGGAGGAAAGGCWGCAACAGGGATGCTGCACAAGAGTGCACTGTGCCACGTACGCAGCCAGGCAAGGGCAACACTGGGCCCCTGGCAGGGTGTGGCTAGCACCAAGCAGACATTTCAGAGAATTCTCACTCCCCACAAACCTTCAGAGCCTTGGGGCCAGGCAAGTAAAGGTGGTACCAGGACAGTTGAGCTCTTGTGGGACTCCCCTCTCAACTTCAGCCCCAAACAGTGAAGAATACATGCGGCTTGCTGGGGCAGCCATCAACCTAAGAATCAGAGAGGGATGTGTGCTGGGAAGGAAATATCATTGTCATTTAATTTTTGGCTCAGCATCTTGTTAGCAGGCTTCATAATTATGCCCGTGGACCACCAGAGTGACACAATAATTCACACTGTGAGAGATATGCGCTTGGAATTCGCCACTCATATTTTGCATTATTTTATTTTAAGTATGTGTATTTTATTCCCGATGTGAAAGGAAAGCAACCATGATGTTCATTTTCAAAAAGGCTCAAACACAAAATGTTAAATGAGTTATTTTTAGAAGAATTTTTTCATACAAGTAGATAAATAAGATTTCTTATAGACTCAAATTGAACAGACAAAATACTTAATTCATAAAGCACAGAACTGGGGGTGGGGTGGGAGAATTTGTACTAGCCATAAATGGTATTAATTACAATTTGATGTAAATCTTGTGAAGTTTAAAAAATATTGATATGTAATTCAAGGAATCCCCGGGGGTATATGTTCAGAATTTGAAAGATGAGTGCCTATACTGACAMGCCAAGATTACCAGAAATTTCTTTTGTGTCTAAAGACAGAGGTCTTGACTTCTAGGCTTGGGACACTTATTTTAAAACCCAATGGTTCCTCCTCAGTTTCATTATGTTTTATTGTATTTTTAAGACAATAGGACAAGTCAGGTGGTAGAATGCTGGAAAGAGATATAGCCTGATGCTTCTGAACTTGGATGAGGATATTCATCTCTTTGGCCTTAATTTCCTCTACTGAGTGAGGCTTTTGTGCTGGGATTAACATCTGACAGTTCTGGCATGCTTTTTATATGGCAGGCTCTGCTATGAACTCCTGCATGTTACGYAGCCCCCACTCCATCCTTAAGAGATTGGTGCTATGATTATTCCTATTTTACAGATGCATAAAACTGAGGCTTTGAGAAGTTAAGAAAGTTGCCCAGTAATACACAGTGCTTTTCAGGAGGGAGGGTGAAGGAGAATCTGTGGAAAGGTGTGGGAGGACCTACTCTCTTTAGACTTTTGTGCTGAGGTAGCTGTGTCTTCCTTCTTTCCTTCCAGAGAACAGTTTGAATTTCTCTCCCTGTTCAGAATATGGGCCCCAACAGTAAGTGGAACTCTGGGGGTTTGCTGCAGTATCTCCCAGCCCTCGGAGAGGTCTCAAAGGTGGCTTTAGGGTTAATGGACTTCTCAATTACAGTGTAAATAAACCTACCTTGTGTTCTGCCAGAAAGCTAGGGCCTTATCTGAGTCTGGTTTTCCTTCATCTGGTCATTATTGTAATGATGAAGGACTCATCCTAATGGGTGACAGCCATGGTGATTGGCATAGGAGAGTCTTTGGATAGTTGRAAAGAAGGGTGTAGATCTTTCAAAGAARAAGGTCAGCAAGATGGGATGGCCATCTATGGCCTCCTCTTCCCCATCATTACTGAGTGCACAGGGAAAGTATATCCTGACAAACACACAGGAAACTACAGAGAAGGAAACCCTCATCCATGAGGCATACAGTTGGAAATCTGTAATTTGAACCCTCGACCATGACAACATAACTAGACATGAGGTTCATTCATGGTTGTCCAATAGGTAGGTGATCATTTATTAGCAATGCAATTTCTTTCTTTCTCGTCATCTCTTTCCATCCTACTAAGAAACATTCTCTGAGAGTCTGAGCATATTTACTGACCTAAATAGGAATATTACTGGGATTTAACCCAGAGTTTGCATGTGTAATAGAGGATTTTTTCCAACTGTGGGAATCAGGTGGAACATATGTTAGCTTTAGTTTACAAAAGAAATTGTTTTAATCTCTTTATGGCAATAAATTTTGTACTCACACTTTCTTTTTTGGCATTTTTTTGTATCAGAAAAAATTCAGTAGAGGAACATAAGTCAAAGTGTCATTCTTCACGAAACTAACACAGTATCAAAATGAGTTCATCTCTCTGAAAATCTAAACACAATTGAACATCAACTATTGATTCAGAAAATAATCAGGGTGCTTCTTTTTTTWAAAAAAAATATTACTAAGTATTTAATGACATCTAAAAACATGTACAATGACTTGAATGCTAAGAACATGGATATTACCTAAAGCAAATCCTACATTTGAGAGGTCTAATTATTAAAATTCACTGAATAAATCAGATGAAAGTGTCCTATTGTGGTGGATAATAATACTTTGGTCATTCCCTAGAGAATTTACCAAAGGGAAATAGATATTGTATTTAACCTTCCTTCCCAAATTTTGGATACAATGCCTGATGATGGATTGGGAATCATAATTCCATGGAGGGCATTTAGACTGTGAGAAAATGAAAAGAGGAAATCTCCCTACAGAGATCCTTGCTCTTTTTTTCCTCTCAAATGTGAATGGTAGGCTTTCCAGGTAATGGGAAAGGAAAGTGTTCAGAGTTGATGATCCTCCAGCATTATAATCTCATAATGTTTCTYTGAGAAACAAGTTTAAATAAATACCACTACTATCTGGAAGATGAGGATGATAAGATCAGTTATAAACTATGCTGTATCTTTTGCATAGCTGGGATGTTCTGGGTTCAACTCTCCATGCAAAAAACTCATGAGGGCTTCTACTAAGACACTATCTACCTTCAAGATTCTACTTRAATATATTGCCTTTGATGAAGCATTGCTCCTGCTCCAGCATGCAGGAAACATGCTAGGTACTAAAAAACATGAAGAGATGATAAAGACATGGATTTATATTTCATGTATTCTGTCAAGTTCCATGACAACCTAGGTTGACTCACATACCACTGAGTTGTCAACTCTATGAAATATTTCTACTTCAGCTGGTTGGAGCGGAACAGGCATTCTGCTAAGCTCTGCTGCCTTGGATAATCTCTTGCTCTTAGTAACTGTTGAAGGTCCAAACACTGATTTACCAGCAGTTACATTACAACATTTCCAAAGGCACACAGTTTCTCAGACCCTCTACGCTCAGGAATAGAAATCTCAAGGCACATGTCTGGGATTTCAGCCTCCTCCTGTTTTGAGAGAACCCAGGACATGATCCAGCAATGGGACTGAGTTATATGCTATGTCATTACCCATTCCCACAAGTGCTTTCCAAATTCCACACACTTGCCATAATTAATGGATTTGGCTGCCAAAGCAAATCTCGTGCGTGCCTTCAGTTGACCCAAGGGTGACCAGTCAAAAGTCACAATGCCATTATCCTTGTCATGGCTTAGGGCAGCCAACTCTGAGCCCAAGATGCCACCCTGAGATTGTGCACCAATCTGAGGCTTCCTGTGAAGAAAGCATTTATGGCATGTCCAAGCCCATCAGCCTATAACATACAGAATCATGCAACACTATTTGTTCCATAAGTACCTTGCACCTTGGATCAATAAGGTCTGACAAATGATTTCACTTGAATTAAAGACTACACATTTTTTTTTAAAAATGATAGCTAATAAACTCAAGAATCCTAGGTAAGGCAAAACACCTTTTGTTCTGGGAAACTGGCTGACATGCAGCAGCGTATTTAACATCTATGATCCCTTCACTGAATTAACATCTGTGGTCCCCTGGCATATGCATTTCCAAGAAGCTCCTGAGTGGGTGGGGGTACTGTACTGCCCTGATTGAAAACCACTACATTATGTATATTAGGGCTTGTCATTTTTCTGGAGGCACATGTTATAGAGAGTGAACACTCCGTGGTATAAGATCACCAGTGTGGCCCTGACTGCCACCATACTTCATCCATAGTCTCTTCTATATTTGATTCTTGTGATTTCCACAAAAATTCTTGGACCTCTCAAGTCATTTACTTGTAAAGACTGATGGTTGGAGCTCCATCTTTAAGAACACAAATAACATTATGTGGGAAAGACTGATTTCCTACATTCCACCTCTCCTGAGAATAAGGCAACAGAAGCTTGAATTTTATGTAAGGCAGAAATAAAAACTTGGCAATGTGAACTTGAGCAGGTTCTAGAAAGAAGCTGTRTCCTAGAACCACTGAAGGACCTTCCCTTTGGCATTGTCACTAAGAAAAAATCCGTAAAAATATGTGGTTATGCAGCTGCTTCTTTCCATGGCTAAGCCCAACTGCTTTCTCCACTACAGCAATAATACGTTGCTTTACATCCATATGTCTACCTCAACTCACCCTACCAAACCAACCTCCCACCAGACTCAAAAGTCTTCTGTTGATGAATCCTAGTTCCCAATTCTAGTCTTTCCCTTTGCTCCATTCATCCTAGTGAAATAATATAGCTACAAATCCCATGAAGCCCTCTTCTGCAGGAAAACACTCATTCCTCATGTCTTATCATTTGTGGATTCCCATGGAACACTTCATATGACTCTATTGTAAACATTCATGTCTACCTGATTATCGTGATTGTCACCACCTCTTTACAATTTACAAATGTTACACAGGCAGGAATAGTGTCTTATGCATCTTCCTACTGCACCTTTCACAGGAGTCTGCTTGAAGTCGTTGCTCAASCAATGCTTGCTGAATGAATGAGTGAATGAGTGAATGAACTGATGGGTGAACATATATTTGAGATACAGAGCTCTATGTTGAAATAAATGTATAGAATATTTAAGTGGAGACTACATTTAAACTAAAAAGTTAGAGATRGTCAAAAGTTCATCTAAATATTTTCTCACCCAGAATTCATACACTTAAGAATGCACCTGATTTTCCTGACCAACACATCACAACCACAATGAATGAATGAATCAATGATTATCAGGGAACTGAAGACATAATGAGAACACAAGCTAAAAGGCAAATTTTATTCTCTTGGTGGTGTATTTTATAACTACTTCTTTAATATCTCAGCTCAAAACCACTTTCCTAGTATTGTGAAATGAAGGCTGTTACAATGAAAGACTAGAGGCCATCTTCGGTTTTGCTGACTCCCAGAGGCAATTTTGAGCAATTCAGATTTTTTGTTCCATTTATTTAATAAATTCCCTAGGTCATAATAATCAAAAAAGAATGCTTGTAAATATTCTGAARGACAGATTTTATCAGCATAGGTGACTACTCCTGGAGTTTCTCAATGGTGAAACAAATGAGCTGAAACCCATAACCCTTGTATAAGGTTAAAATAAGGATTTCTTTTTTCTTTTTTTTTTTGGCTACTAAATGTCCTAGCAAGTTTTTGTCAAAAGCTTAGATAGGAATGGAAACAAATGCCTTGCTGGGAATGTTTCCTTGCTCGCACTAACCTTGACTACAGCAATAACACATTGCTTAACAGTCAAAGTGCACTAGGTCASCCCGGCAAGTGACACCATCAGGATCAGTGAGCGTGCCGTTCCCAAGGAAGCAGATGTACGCAAACAGGTCCCAGCCCAAGTGTCCTGAGTGCAGAGGAGCCTGCTAGACCTGCAATATTCTTTTCCTGGACAAAGTAAGCCAGATGTGACCCTTTGCTTCCCCAAAGGAGTCCCTACCCTCTCCTTATCTCATCGGGCCATATTCTCCCACCAGCAGCATTTTCTTCCAGAATCCATCTCATTTCCTAATTTTACAGCATTTCATTCTCTCTTTCTTAATAGCCATTACAAGGAAGATAAAAACTGGGTTTTAACAAGTACATTAAAATAGGCCCTTATTGGGAAAGTCAGAGAGATCATGCACAAGGTGTGGTGGTATTTTTGTCTCCTTGGGAGGAATTTGTGTAAACTCATGTATTARCCTCTGTGCTGTCATTGACAATGGGCCCACTGGATTTAAAGCATTCATTTGCACAGTCTTATCAAGAAACTCCTTGCCACCTGCACAGCAAACGACTGCATTTGAAGGAATGCAGCCAGCTTGATAGCTAAAATAACATAATGTACAAAACGAGGAACACCCTTTGATATGTTTTGTTGGAAGTGTTCCACTGTGATTTGTAGGAAGCTCTAGAAGGTGTGAAAGAAGGTGTACAGGGTGTGGGGAGCATATGCCATCAGGTGGTTGGCAGTCATGAGGTGGGTTACTAGGAGTTCTGACACCTTGTCTCATCGTAGACCTAACCTAGGATGACCCCTCCTTCAGGCTGGGGAGGTCTTCCACCTGCTCAGGGGTCCCAATGGCTTAGGGTTGGCTTAATTCTGGCACTGCTCTTTCTTTTGTGATGACCTTTACTCATATGGCACCAAAGAAGTCAGGGATTGGGATTAATGGGTTCCTTGTCCACTTTTTTTTTTCTAAAAAGGGAAGGCCCCTTTGTGTGACAAGATAYAGATACCAAATGATAATAAAAATGACAACTAAAGACCCTGATGCATTTGGAGGAACTGCACAAAACCAAAATGAAATGAATCGGTTTTCTTTTCCCACCCACCCCTTACCCACCCCCGCAACAGCAAAATATCTTTTGGTTTTTTTTTTTTTTTTTCATTTTTTTTCTTCCCAAAGTCATAAGAGGCACAAACAGGTAGCAAGAAAGCATCGTGAAGCAGCTCCGGCTGAGTGCTCTCCTTGGCCCGGTGAGCGATCTCTCCTGCACTCAGGTGATGACGGTGGGTCCTCTGCGGCCAGTTCTCTCGTGAATCTGGGATATTTTCAGGGCAATGGCTATGAGAGGGCTCAGCACTGCCTGGAAAAGAAGGAAAACCATTGTGAACAACTTGAACTAGTCACAAGACAGAACCTGTAATGGATTTCTTAGCATCTGGCTTCAAATTCCCATTTGCTGCTCAAAAGCAGCCATGGAGGGTAGGACAGCTGCCTCCTATGGACCTTTGTTTTCTTTATCTTCAAAAGAGATCGAAGTACTCAGAGCACAAAAGTAGGGTCAGAAKATGATGATCTCCAAAGTCTTACCCAGCTCCAAAGGAAATTTACCCGATATAGAGAAGTGCACCAGCCAACCACTAGAAGAACTTGACAGCATGTAATGAACAGTGGATCATGAATACAGGAAGGTCAGAAATTTCCAGTCCTCCTCTGGTATGCCTCCTTCCCAAGTACATCCCCATCCTCCAGCCTCCACCCACATGCAACTCAAGGATAAAAGCTTATTCTTCATTCTAAAACCATCCTATTATCTGGATTCAGTTTCTATTTAAAAATTTGATATTATCCTAATGATTCAAAGATGGGCCAGTGCATTGGCTAATGCTGCAGAGATTCCCGATCATTCCTTCCCATATTATAACACTGTGGCTGTTATAAGGCACATGTCATGAGAAACCTCAGATCATTCCTTCCCATATTATAACATTGTGGCTGTTATAAGGCCCATCATGAGAAACGTCAGTGCTTCCAAAGTGAACGGAGGTGGGGTTGGCATAGAGTCCAAAGGACTAGGATCTTGCAAAGGTGAAAGACACAAAGAGGATTAAGCATCATTTCTTGCCCTTTAATGATGATCCTACCATGAGATTGAAGCACTGTTTTCCAAACTGTGGGGCACACACCATTTGTGACGATTTTAGATGGTGCATGGACACGGTATTACTTGAAAAGGAAAGAAAGTTGGTCTGTTTTCTGTTCATTTTCAACTCTTTGCATTTCATCAAGAAGGAACTGTTGTCTTAGGACTTGAACCAAGACAATGCATGTCTCAGGCAAGAATGACCTAATTCTAATCTTCTARGATTCAATATTTTTATGGAATTTGGCTTTATGGTGTGCTTGTGTTTATCAAGTGGTATTTCTTCTAAGTAGAGTACTGATGTAAACATTCTACAGTAAATAAACAGATTGAAGTGAAAATGAAGTCAGTCAATATAAAGACAAACACTAACAGAGATGGTGTAGATAGAAAAGAAGTTTGGGTAACACAGGAAGCAAACACAGATTCCATGATTCCAGAAAAAAAAAAAAATCCTGTGCTAGTGATGGGGGAGTCCACCCATTTTTTTTGGAATCACGGAATTTCCTTAGATTTTTGTATGATCCAAAGGAGTCTTGGGGAGAGGGCCCGAAAGATGCCCAAGACTGAATTTTTGCCAGCCTTGTGGAATGGAAACCTCAAGCTAAGCTTCCATTTTTAAGGMTGTTAAAGCAGAGTGCTTTGTCTTCTTCAACTGCATAAGTAAAGCAAATACATGGGTATTGGAATGCATGACTAAACACAAGGGCAGGAACTTTGATTCACTTGGGGGTTAGAATAGAGCCCAATGCTTAAGATATTCGATATATATATTTGTGGAATAAATGATGGCACATGAGTTTGATGAAAAGGCAAAGCAGGTAGAACTCTACAGACACTCATGAAGGGCATTCAGAATGTGTCAGAGCGATGGCTGTACTGGACTCGTACTGTCATGTTTTCTTTTAGAAATCACAACTTTGATTCATATAAATTCCACATGTCATCAACAGGGCCTCATGGGAGGGGGAATTGATTTTCCTGAGGTGACCAGAGAGACCTTTGGAATGGAGTGAAATAAGAGGGGTTAAAGCCTTCAGATGAGAGGCTTCTTAGGTGAAATGGGAAGTAAACAGTTTGAGAAACATAAAAGCATGTGGAATGATCTAGTTTGGTTCCTTCACCTCAGACAAGAAAACTACGACACAGAGAGGAGACACTAGTGGTTGAGGATCACATATATGCTTAGTGGCTGAGCTGTGACGATAACATAGGGAGGTCCCCTCTACTGCTCTTTCCATAATACAATTCTGATACAAGTTCTGTGAGTGACAATGAAAACTACAGAAGACAAAAGAACCTAAGGGGAGGACTGGGAGAAATATCAGACAAGTTCCAGCCACATCAGCTGCGGAGTTGGAGAGGACTGAGCAGCCATGCTTACTGACCAAGGACAGTGAGAAGAGGAGGTCCCAGGTACGTGGATTCTGGTGACTTCACTAGACGTTCTAAGATATAAATAAAGAGACTTTAATCAATGATGTTGGGAATAAAGAGTTTTTTTCATTCCAGGGCTTCTTAGAGTGAGATAGCTCTTCTACAGTCAAGAGTAGAAACAGTGAGCTTCTTGCTCCAAACCAAGGGGCAATGTACCCATTCAACAGTATTAACAACGTGGCTCCAGGGCCCTTTTTCCACCTTGCAGTGTTTGGCGAATGCTTGCTGTCATCTCTAGTTAATAAGCATACCAGGCTACAGAGGGAACTGGATTCAGTTTCTATTTAAAAATTTGAAATTTGTTTATCACAGACTTTTGGCACGGATTTTTCAATACAATATTTAAAATTATTGTATTAGGATATTTATCTTGGTTAATGAGCAGTTTGATGCCTTTGTCCCTTTAAATTTTTCCACCCAGTTAACCTCATCTGATGTGGTTTGAATCTAGAAAAATCTCCTGAAAAGCCTGTGTTTGAGAAGCATGATCCTCAATACAGCAAGGTTCAGAGAGGGGACTTCTAGGCAATGATGAGAACTATAACTTCATCAGCAGGTTAATCCCTTTGATGGACTAATAATTTGGGTTACTTGATGGTAAATATAGGTAGTTGGGGCAAGGATGGAGGAACAACCTAGGTTGCTGGAGGTGTGCCTTGGGGATTATACCTTGTCCCTGGTTTCTTGCACTCACTCTCYCTCTGCTTCCTGACTACCAGGAGCAGAGAAGCTTGCCTCTGCCATCCTTTCTGCCACRACGTGCTGCCTCACCTTGGGCTCAGAACGAAGGAGTCAGCATCTATGAACTGAGACCTCTAACACCATGAGCCAAAATAAACTTTTCCTCCTCTAAATTGTTCTTGTTGAGTATTTTGGTCACAGCAATGACAAGCTGACTAACACATCATCCCAATCCTAGTCCCATATTAGATTTTAACTTGTTCAAACTCCCTGGAAAGACAGACTTCTCCTTTTTACCTTTTCCTCATCTTCTCTCTTGCTTTATGTTGTTGATGTTTTAATCTATTAGAGCCATGAAACAAAACCAACAAACTGAAATTCTTACAGCAATAGGCAGGAAGTGTGTGAATGATATGACTGTCATAAGATTCAAAGAAAGTAGAGTTGATTTGGGGGAGAAAACAAAACCCTACACRGAAACATAATCACTTACTTAGAAAGATTTGTTATAATTTGTGGAAGGATCCCAGCACTAAACTGGTCTCCATAAAAAAATGCACACTTACAGGATCAGAGAAGTATCCTGATGGTGAAGAGTAAGTAGGAAATGGTGATGAGAGTGGAGAATGGCAGTACTTATCACAGGGGATCTTTGAGACAGGTAATATAACCTAGAGAATGCTGACCATCCTGCAACATGAAACACTTACATCCCAGCATCTGCAAACTAGGGATTTATAATAAATGCATTTTCCCTGATCACAAGAATTGAGTAACATCAACACTTGGGTTCAAACCTACTAAATCTATTGTGCCAGATTTTCTCTCCTGATTTTATTCAAATCTTTGGTTTTTATCAATATGATGTTTGCTTAGTCTAAGTCAGTGGTTCTCAAACTTGGAAATGCACCAGAATTGCCTAGAGGGTTTATTAAAATGCAGATGCTAGGTTACCTCCTCCTGAATTTGTTATTTATGAGGTCTAGGGTGGGATCCCTATTGGCACTTCTGGCAAGTTCCCAGGTGATTCTGGTCTGCTGGTCCAGGGACCACACTTTGAGGACCACTACTTTGATGCACACTGGGTACTGTGCCTGTCAAGTGCTTTGCTCCAGGTAAGTGTAAGTTTCCCTGTTTATAGTTCATGATTCTAACTTCCTGGCCACAGCTGACTCTCTAAGTTATWGGCAGCCAACTCATAGGCCAGGTATCCACCGACAATACAGCCTGGGCAAAAACTTGAACTAGCTGATGGGATTTTTTTCCTTCACGGATTTGAAATGTTAAGAAATGAAAGAATAGGAGGTTTGCAGTGAGAATTAAACCATGAAGTTACAATTAACCAATCATCATGGCGTAAAGTTCCTTGGCAATCCAGGCATACGGGAAAGCAGAGACTCTGAGAGACTATAAAAATGATAAAAAAGAAGAATGAAACCGAGAAAAGTTAAGAATTAAACAGAGCAGAGAGATAATGGCACGAATCCCAGTAATCTCTAAGGTAAAAATCCATTAACTCCTGCTATGAGGGCCTGAGTTGGTAGCTATGCTCCAGGACTAGTTTCTGTGACTAGGTCCACAATCAACGCACTCATGGATTTCTTCAGCTAACTTTAATTTTTTTGTGTGCACTAAAATAAATCAATAATTTTAAACAAATTAAAATAAAATTGAATAAAATAAACATACTCAAGTTGTGTTTTTTAAAATTATTTTGAGTAACCATGACTCTTTTCTACTACCAGTGAGAAAAACATTTTTTTTCCCTTTTATAATTACTTGCAAACTGAAATTAACGTCCGTACCAAGCCAGTTCATGGCTCATATTCTCCTTTCTGCTACAGGTTAAATATCCTTGGTCCAAAAAGTGTTTGGGTCCAGAAGTGTTGCTGATATCAGACTTTTTCAATTTTGGAATATTTGTATGTATAATGAAATATCTCAGGGAAGGCAATATTTAAAGACAAAATACATTTATACTTCACATACGCTTCATATACATAGCCTAAMGGTAATTTTGTATAATATTTTTAGTGCATCTTTGTTTTGGCTGCAACCCATCACAACCCAACACATGAGGTCAAGGTGTGGAATTTCCCACT